GGCATTTAATAAATGTTCAAAGTGAATGCTAAGATGCTTTAAGGGACAGATGATATCTATTTTCTTCTAGTCTCCATGCCTAACACAAAACCATTCCACACTGGTGTTTGAGGTGAGTCAGTTAATGAACATGATTTAAATATCTTTTGAGGGCAGTTGAGCATTGACATAAGAACAGCACTTACCGTTTCAAGTGCTGCTTGCAGCACAGGTTCTCTGTGCCACAAAAACCAAGCTCCCACTGTAATCCAATGTTCTCCAGAAGGAACGCTGCTAGAATCTGGGTCTCTCCAGCTCACATTTTAATATCTATCCTCCTTCCCAACCTTTGCCAAAGACTTCAGTTGGTAACACAAAAAAATGTAGGGTGGGCCTGGGAAAGGCAAACCAGAGGACGAAAACAGGAGCCATTTCCCTAGAATTAAATAGGAATGAAAGCCAGAGGAGATGAAAGGGATTATATTGGTTGTGGAAGATAATATAAAGTGTCCCTATATCTTTTCCTTCCCAGTGCCTCCAGTCCTGAGAAGGAGGATGCTTCAAATGTTTTGAGTTTTCAAGAACTGCTTTCTCATAGTTCTGCAAATGGAGTATGGGAGAATGGTGGCTGTTTTAAAGAAGGTCAATCCTGTGCAGTACTCCTGGAAGCCTAGGGATGAGCTGCAGACAGGAAATGGCCCTGCTGCCTCAGCAGAGTTGTCTCAGTGGGACTGTGCTAGGGAAGCTTCTGAGTTCAGCATGAAGCCAGACATCTGGGGAGTCATGATCAAAGGCGAAAATTCCTCTTTGCTACAACCAGCCTTTTTAAAAAAAAATCAATAAAAGAAAAATAAAGAAATAAAATGAACTCGTACCCAGCTAGTGAAGTTAACCTGACTATTACAAGTGAGCATATGTGTAAAGCATTTTTATAATGCCCAGCCCAAATTAAGTACTGTGTATGAGAAGTTGGGATATTGAATGACCTTACTAAGAGGATATATTTTTTGGTACTGGGGATTCAACTCAGGGGTGCTTGACTACTGAGTCACATCCCCAGCCCTTTTTTATATTTTATTTAGAGACAGGGTGTCACTGCATTTTAAAGTGTCTTGCTCATCTGCTAAGGCTGGCTTTGAACTTGCTATGCTCTTGCCTCAGCCTCCCGAGTTGCTGGGATTACAGGGG